TCCATGGGTACCCACATGCATGTGCATGCTCAGGGGTGGGGGTGCCATTTACATGCCATTTTGAGCATTAGAAGTTATGTAGAGACGGCTTAAGTAGGCCCTGTCCAACCCAGGGTCCACCAGCCTCATGCATACCAGGATAGCTATGACTGTCGCCTGACACTCTGTGCATAGTAGTGACATATAGCAATGTCAAAAGATTAGACAGGGCTTCAGAGATGGCTCAAGGGTAGAGTGTTTGCTTCATAAGCATGAGGACTAGAGTTCCAGCCCCAGCACCCGTGTAAAAAGCCAGGTGTGGTAGGAGGTGCTTGGGGAGGATGAAACAGTTAGACCCTGAGTTTGTTGACCAGTTGGCCTAGTCTACTTGGTAAGTTCCAGGCCAGTGAGAGACTCTGTCTCAAAAAACAACTGGATGTTTCCTGAGGAACAATACCTGAGGTTGATCTCAGTCCTCCACATGAATGCAGGTGCACCTCTGCATACAAGAATTTATACCTCTTCCCCCACAAAGCTGGGTACCCTTGAAAAGCATCTGCAGATGTGGGTAGGCTTTACATAAATGCTTTTTTATGGTTTACACATAAGATACTTTTAGTGTCCTTGGACATTGTTTTCTGTAAGGACCCACCAGGTATAGATGAAGAGGGACACTATATACTAATATAACTGTCCCAGCTTATTCTGACCTAAAGAACAGTTCCAGGAAACTAGAGTCAGGGGACTATGGAGGGAGAACGAATACACTGGCAAACTTATGGAAGCTATGCCTTGGACAGCTAGGACTGGGTCTCACCGGAGTGCCCGGGGAACTATGCAGAACAGAATATGCCTTCAGTGTGTCCACAGCAGACATGGTTAATCCACTGCTCCCACCACTCACTGGCCAAGGGCTAAAACATTCCCATTTCCAGAAATGGGTGTGCACATAGCTGAGACGACTCCTACAATAGACCCAATGACAGGGAGGAAGAGATGTCCCTGGCAATATTAAAAGCATTGTTTTGTGGCACCTCCTCCTAGCTGCCCATTCACAGCAGCACAGATGCTTAGTTAAAAATGTCAACCATGGGCTGGAGAGATGGTTCAACAGATTAAAGCACTGGCTGTTCTTCCAGAGGACCAGAGTTCAATTCCCAGCACCCACATGGCAGCTCACAACTGTCTATAACTCCAGTTCCAGGGAATGTTACACCCTTACATGGACACACATGCACATAAAATAAAAATAAACAAATCATTTAAAACTTTTTTTAAATGCCAATCTTGATACCTATCTTATTTCGGGTTTCCACTGCTGTGAAGAGACACCATGACCATGGGAACTATAGGGAAAAGTCTTCATTGGGGCGCGCTTACAGTTTCAGAGGTTCAGTCCTTTATTATCATAATGGGGAGCATGGAGGCATGCAGGGAAACATGATGCAGGAGAAGTGGCTGAGAATCCTGCATCTTGCAGGCAACAGGAAATGGTGTAAAAGTCACACTGAGGGAAGTTTAAGAAAAAGAAACCTCAAAGCCGTTCTCACAGTGACACACTTCCTCCAACAAGGCCACACCTCCTAACAGTGCCACTTTCGTTGGGGGCCATTTTCTTTCAAACCACCACAGTGCACAATCCTGAAGAACTGAGTTAGATCCCTACAACCCATATAAAGGAGGAAGGAGACAAGGGACTCCACAAAGTTGTCCTCTGCCCTCCACATGTTCACCATGGAGTACCAGCAGTTCTCTATCTGTGGGCTGCATAGCAATATCCTGTCTAGCAGATATTTACATTACAATTAACAGTAGCAAAATTGTAGTTATGAAGTAGTAACAAAATAATTTTATGGTTGGGGTTCACCACAACATTCAGAACTATATTAAAAGGTCACAGTATTAGAAGGTTGGGAACCACTGGCATACATCCATATCATGTGCACACACACAAGTACTAATTTAAAAAAAACATAAATCAACTCAACACCATGGAATGGAGGCAGAGTCAGAAGTTCAAGGTCATCCTTAGCTACATGGTAAGTTTCAGGTCAGCCTGAACTAGTTTCTTTGAAAGAACATATGTGTTTGAGAGTAAGACATGTGGCATGTCTCAAAATTTCAGCTCCTTTTCAATACCCCGTGGGAAGAGACACCATTGTTCATTTATCCATCCATCAAAACATTAGGCTGTTTCCACGTTGGGAAAATTGTCACTGACTATGCCACCGCTGCACACAGGCTTTTCACTGGTCTTGGACAAACTCCTAGGATTGGGTGACAGCACCAGAGACATAAATATGTGACTGGATAAGCGTTGCAGAGCTGTGTTCCAAAGCAGCCCTACCAGGCCACATAGTGGTTCGCTCACAGTATCCTTGACAACACTTAGGATTGTTGGCCTTTCTTCTTCGACATTTATTTATTCTTAGAGGGAGGTATGTGCCCATGTCACAGTGTGCACATGGACATCAGAGGATAATATCTGAGGATTTGTTCTCTCCTTCTACCACACGGATGGGATCTAGATTCCAAACTTAGGTTCTCAGGCTTGGTGGCAAACGCCATTACACACTGAGCCATCTCATCCATTGCTTTTACTTGAGTATTTCTGATCCTGTGCAGTTTTTGTCTAGTGAAAACAAAGCCACAAGAAATATCTTCATAAATAAATTCTTTTGTATTAGCTACTAATAGCTCTATAACATACACTGAGAACAAGAGCAAGTGAGTTAAAGAGCGAGGAAGGTTTATTTGCTCTCATCTAACAGTCTCTGGGTGGTGGTGCCAGTTTGCTCACCTGCCAGTTAGCTTTGGCATTGCCTGACTTCTACATCCTCACCCACAGTGCTCAATGTGAACGAATGCTTTACCTGTCTATGTTCAAGTTCTTATTATTTAAAGTGTAACTTTCCTAAGGAGATGTAAAAGAAATGTCTATTCAGCCCAAAGAGTGAAGAAGGCAGACCAAAGTTTGGTGAGTCACTGAGTTTACTAGGATTACTCACAGGAGCATGGGTGACTCAAGGCAGCTGCACAACTGCAAAGTCCCACCCCTCTGCCATTTTTTTTTAACCTTTGATATATTTTAGCAGTTTAAAGATTCATTGTAGCGGGAGAAGATATAACTGTTTATTTTGTTGCCACGGCTGCAGTCTTCTGTAATAGGGCCCTGCTTCATGATGATGATAATCATGACACACCCACAGGAAACAGTCACACTATGATTGTCTTGGCTGACTCTGAGCTCCTGGCTTGGGATTACCTGATTACTTACAGCATATGATTACATACAGAGTAGTTGGTACTACAGACATGCTACCACATTCAACAAAATGTGGAAAATTTGAGCTGTATCTATTTTTGGTGAGCATAGTGATGAATGTCAATTAATGCATGATAATTACAATCCATCTAGTCTGCTTTGCTCTGGATTCCTCACTAGTACACTCAGGAGTGTCGGTCTCACCTTCAGAATGCAGTTAGTCCTCTAGTGCTCAGAGCTGCTCACCAGGCATTCAGGCACCATGGTTTCACAGAATAGAAAGGCCTGACTGAAAGGGACCTTTCTAAGGTTACAGAACAGATCTACCCAAGGTACTCTAAGATAAGAATAGACTCCTCTAAAGTTTTGATTCTAAGTGTCTTCCTCCATTGTTTTCTACCTTCTATATTGTGGCAAAGTTTCTCACTTGAACTCAGAGCTTGTTGATTTGGCTGGTCTAGTTAGACACATTGCCCCAGGGATCCTCTGTCTTTGCTAGCCAAGTGTTGAGATTAGGGAAAGCCCAAACCAGCATTTACATGGGTGATGAGATTCTAAACTCAGCTCTTCAGACATCTGTGGCAAGCACTTTACTTTTGAGCCATTCCTCTACGTTGATTTCAAACCTTTGAAACTGCTACTCACTTAAGAAATATCTGGAGAGCATTTACGGTGATGCACAACTGTCACCCCAGCATTTAGGAGGTTAAAGAAATGAACACTAATTCAAAGTCACCCTGTGTCCTACAGAGAAACTTTAAAAAAGGAACAAAGCCAACCTTAGGAAGAACATACACGTATCTTCCTTTAGACACATTTAATAGAAAACAAAACAGAATTCGACCAGTATGGTAGCACTCATTGGTAAAATCCCAGCACTCTGAGACAGAGGAAGGAAGACTGTTAGGTCAATATTACCCTGGGCTACAGAATGAATGTCCAGACAACCTGAACTACACAATGAAGCTGAAAAACAAACCAATGATTTTTTTAAATAAAATCTATACTTCTTATTACATTTCACTTCCTTGAAAATATGCTGAGTGGCATCCACTAATAAATAGACTTGTGCTATTGGACTGTCCATAATTTTAAGGGTCCAGTTTTAGAATCTAGGTCAAGATTGCTTCTTATTTAACAGTGTCTTTGGCCTTCCTGGAGAGCCAGCTGCAGTCATACTACCTACCTCACACCGTTTTGAACGTATTATTCCTATGTTCTTTTTTCTACTTATAACGCTACATGTTATTCCTTTATCAGTTATCTCCACGAATAGCTCGGGGACTCCAAATGTACTTGGTATTAATGCTAGTGTAGAGAGCAGGCTTTGAAGAGACACGCCTGGGTTTAGCTATCACCGCCACCATCTGCAGGTCATCTTAACGAAAGCTTGTTCACCATTGAAAACTCAAGTTTCCTCCTCTGTAAAATGGGCACCTGAGGCGTGTAAAGGCTTCCTAGTGAGTGTCTTTAGACTACCAGTAGCCAATCATAGCATCCGGGAACATGATAGAAAAACCAACTTTCGGTCCTCGACTCAGAAAGACCCAAGAGTGGGTCAGAGCCATCTGTTCTAACTCTACTTCCAGGTAACTCTGAAGGGAGCAGAGAAGCCAGCACCTCGACCTCCGGGACTACAGCAGCTCCCGCCGGCAACGCTCGGGAACTGACTCGGCCCTGGCTCCGCCCTCTTTCCCTACGATCGTTGATTGGTGAAGTCTCTGGTGGCGATTCGCCAATCACCCGACCTCAGTCACAGAAACAGTTGAGGTTGCGTCTGAAGAGAGCGGTGCTCCTATTGGTTAGAAACCACGCCGCCGCGCCGGGCGTAAGCACGGCAGATGCGTGACGCCGGTAGCAGTTGAAAAATGGCGAGTGTTACTGAACTGAAAGCTGGTGAGTGCGCCGAGGGGACGCTCGGCAGCGGGAAGCGTCGCGCCTTCAGTCTGTGATAGGGATGGGACGGAAGGAGAGCGCGCGGGACACCAGCTCGGCCTTTCCGGGATCGTTCTGAGGTGGCAGGGCTCTCCGGGGGGCGGGGAGGCGGAACTGACCGCTGCGCATGTGCTGTGGGAGGGCCAGGCGACCTGCTGGAAGGAACTGAGAGGGCTGCAGGTTTGTTCCTACGGACGCCTGGACATCCATCTGAACCCTGCTGAGCCGCCAGCGCCAAGTCAAGGCCTTGTGTTCAGGGCTGACCATTAACAACACCACAGCCACGTTTGATAACACAGTTCTTAACGATTTGTAGATAGGTCCTCCTGGTCCTTCGAGATAAACCTGAGACAGAGTTGCCCATCCTGGCGGTTCTTCGGGATTTTTCGGAAGAGTTTTTCCAAAGTGGTTATGTGCAGGACCCTGGGTTCCATCCCCAGGACTGCAAAAAAACAGAGTAACCATAAATAACACGTGTATCCTATCAGCTCTGGTAGTTATAGTTAATGTTTGATTGATTCCATCTAACAAACCCCGTTCTCTACATTGGGAATTTGAGGTGCCGAGAGGTAGAATATTTCATCCAAGATAATTTAGGTAGAAATAGACTGGCGTGGAACTCACATAAGGTGCAGTAGCATCTTAATCACCGCGCCATTCTGCTTCACAATGAATAAAACCAGTCCTGAGTTTCAAAGAATTCAGAGACAAAGCCAGTGATAGTGGAAATTTGGAGAGGACCAAGTAGAGTAGCTTGGAGACTATAATTTAGTAACCATTGGCAAAATATGTGTTGGTGGCATTGTGCAAAACTAGACATGCCTCAGCCCCTAGGAGGATACATAACACATGTGATATTGTATAAACTTCTCAAAGGACTTGAAGATAATTCGGTGGGAAATAAGTCAGATTAAGACCGGCTCCCAACATGGGGAGATGGTCAAGAGGTTAAGAGCACTGGCTGTTCTTCCAGAGGTCCATGTTCAATTCCCAGCAACCACATGGTGGCTCACAACCATCTCTGGTGCCCTCTTCTGGCCTGCAGGGATACATGCAAGCGAACACTGACTACATAATAAATAAATAAATAATCTTAAAAAAAAAACAACAACAACAAAAAAGACCGGCAGCCGAGCAGTGGTGATGCATGCCTTTAATCCCAGCACTTGGGAGGCAGAGGCAGGCAGCTCTCTGTGAGTTCAAGGCCAGCCTGGTCTACAAGAACTAGTTCTAGGACGGTGGCCTCTATAGACTTGGGGTTTCTTCTTTACGTTTGTTTTTCTGTATTCTCGGGCTCTTGATATGTTTTGTGTCCAAGAGAAAGGTAGTGAAAACTTGGTCCCTAATCGATGATCTTATATTTTATGGGCCTTTTACTCATGTAAAACACTCTTCCATCTCACCTAGATCTTCTTTCTGAGAGGTGGAGTTCATTACCACCAAGAAGACAACCAAGGCATGAGTTAGGAATCTGCCACCAAGTCATGAAGGACATGCTAAGTTTTCCAGTGCCAGCTTCATTACTTTTTATTTTCTGCTGAGTATGAGGCTGTACTGTGTGTTCTTCATAGTAATTGGAACAGGATGCTTGCCAGTAGAAAAGAATCTCTCCATTTGATTTCCAAAGATGGAACTAGAGAACAGGGGTTGTCTTATGATCTTACGAGTATGATAAAGCTTTCCTTTTATGGGCCTGTTACAAAGTAAATTTGTTGGTAAAACTGCAGTTAGTGCACCTGCAGAAAGGCTGAAGGAATGAATGCATTAAAAACAAAAGAGAAGGGGCTGGAGAGATGGCTCAGAGGTTAAGAGAACTGGCTTCACTTCCAAAGGTCCTGAATTCAGTTCCCAGCAACCACATGGTGGCTCACAACCATCTGTAATGAAATATTCTGCCCTCTCCTGGCCTGCAGGGACATATGCAGGCAGACCACTGTATACTTAATAAATAAATAAATAAATCTTTAAAAAAAAAAAAACAAAAGAGAAGGAAGATGGAAAGTCTATCAGTGTGTATCTTTAATCACATGACCAAGGATGATGTTATTTACCAGAGCTTAGGAACTTTACTGATTGTACCTAAATGGATAAGCTGTCTTACGAATTTTTATTGTTGTGGCATAATAATGCTTTTGCCACTGGCAGAGCACAGTGTTCTGTTAAACTACACTTTTTAGCCGGGTGGTGATGACGCACACCTATAATCCCAGCACTTAGGAGGCAGAGGCAGGCAGATCTCTATGAATTGGAGGCCAGCCTGGTCTACAAAGGGAATTCCAGGACAGCCAGGGCTACACAGAGAAGCTGTATCTCAAAAAATAAAACAGAAAACGAACTACTTTTTTTTTCACCAATAGTGTAAGGCCCTATAGATATTATACATTTGTAACATTTAGTGAGCTCTTGTTATATTCTAGGTATTATATTGATTCTTCAGAACTGTCATGTAGTCACAAAAGACTGTTTGAAAAGGGAAGGATCTGGATGGTAACTTTTTAAAAAATTGATTCTTTGTGGTTTCATATCGTGCATCCTGATCCCATTCATCTCCACATCCCTTCACATCCGCCCTCTGCCACTGCAACCTTCCCCTCCCCCAACATAATATTTAAAAGAAAAACAAACTAATAATACCAAAAAAAAAAAAGTCTTGGCATGCATCTTTACTTGTAAGTGTTCATTGCAGTGAATCATTGATCTGGTTGTAAGCCCCGGGTTGGCTACTTTTGGTACTGGACCCTCAATGGAACTCCTCTTTAATATCCTGTTGTTGTCCTGTGTCATGGAGATCCTGCAGCTTTGAATCTGCAGATCCGGCCCCTCACATGCTCCAGCAGTTCATAGAGGAGGTGGTCATCTCATAGCCCTGGTTCTGGGCTGGGTGGCAGCAGGGTTGACTCTGACTCCGTAAGTTAACAGTGGCATAGTCCCTTATTAGATTCTCATTACATTTCCTTTTTTTAAGATTTATTTTTTTGTCTCTCTCTCTCTCTCTCTCTCTCTCTCTCTCTCTCTCTCTCTCTCTCTCTCTGTGTGTGTGTGTGTGTACATGTATACAGGAGTGCGGTTGCCTGTGGAGGCCGGCAGAAGAGGGCATCAGATGGTTGTGGGTACTCATGGGTACCAGGAAGTAAACTGAAGTCCTCTGCAAGAACAATATGCATTCTTTTTTTTTTTTTTTTTTTCAAGACAGGGTTTCTCTATGGTTTTGGAGCCTGTCCTGGAACTAGCTCTGTAGACCAGGCTGGTCTCGAACTCACAGAGATCCGCCTGCCTCTGCCTCCCAAGTGCTGGGATTAAAGGCGTGCGCCACCACCGCCCGGCTAACAATATGCATTCTTAACAATATTCAAGAATAACAATATTCAAGAACAATATGCCATCTCTTCAGCACCTTGTATTACATTTCTAACCAGACTTGACATTTTAAAATCTACCATTGGACTAGGGATGTTGGTTCCCTGTCATGCATGAGGCCCTAGGTATGATCCCCAACAACACATGCGTTGGGGCTGGTCATGTACATCTGTAATCCCAGCACAGCCTACAGGAGGATCAGAAATTTAGGGTCATGTTCAGCCTACATCAGAGTTTAAAGTTAGCTTGGGTTACAGTCTAGGTATGAGGCCCAAGCTGGTCTGACTTCCCAGCCTCCCAAGTACTGGAATTACAGGAATGTGCAACATTCCCAGTTCTAGTTCCCTTAAAGCAGAACAGAACCAAAACCCACAACACTTTTTTTTTATTTATTTTTTTATTAAGAATCAACTGTGATTCTAAGCCAAGGTTACAGAGAAACCACGTCTGGAAACAAACAAAAATCAGTTATGGATTTCAGTCAGCTGGATGTGTGGTGGCATACTCGAGAAAGGCAGGCGGATCTCTGTTAGTTCCAGGCCAGCCAGAGCTGCATAGAGAGACCCTATCTTGGAAAACAAAACCAAGTCAGCTATGGATGTCAGAAGTTTTTCTCTGTCGACAATAATGATATATTCCTTCTTTTTCTGGAGGTTAGTTGTTTTCCATAGTCATCTTTCCCGACTAAAGGTCATAGTAGTGTCTGCGTCCCCTATAAATAGACAAACACTTGAACATCTGTGGGAGACTCGGATAAACAAACTTTATTCTGTTCACCCTTTCCCCCCATCAAACTCAGTCCCTAACTAAAGATGCATCATGGGTAAACTTGAATTTGCACAAATACATTGAGAGTGGATTATACTATGAGGACTTTAATTTTTACAAATAGAGCTTATGATATTGAAATTGTTTATCTTTCTCTTTAAACTAAGAGCTATATTTGTGTCCTTTTTATTCTTTAACACATACCTGAACTTTCAACGGTTAGTCTGTAACAGAACCATTTATATTTTCCATTTAACAGTTTTAAAGGACACCTTGGAAAAAAGGGGAGTGTTAGGACATTTAAAAGCAAGAATCCGTGCTGAAGTTTTCAATGCCCTGGATGATGATCAAGAACCCCGACCATCATTGTCTCATGAAAACCTTCTAATTAATGAATTAATTAGAGAGTATTTGGAATTCAACAAATATAAGTACACAGCCTCTGTCCTCATAGCAGGTAAGTGGTTATTCATCTCTGAGAAAACCTCTGCTTTATCCTTTTTCTAATTCTCAGAAAGCAGCCTGAATATGTAGTTTGATTACTCTGTCATGCAAGTGACTGAACACATAGCATCCTGTGGTCTCTTGTCATAGCATTAACAAGTTTGGGTAAGCTTTATGCTGTCGGGGAAAGTAAGAGCTAGGACCTTCTACTGCAGGTTCTCCATGTAATATTATGCACACATGCTCATAAAGGATATGATTTTGATATGTTGAAGGTTCTCTAAAGATCTAGTATTAGTATTTATTTCTCTCAGATTATCATAGCTGGTTGTATAATACCATCAACACTCCAGAGGGGGAAATTTTTTTTTTTGAAAATGCCATCACCGGGGGCTGGAGAGATGGCTCAGAGGTTAAAAGCATTGCCTGCTCTTCCAAAGGTCCTGAGTTCAATTCCCAGCAACCACATGGTGGCTGGCAACCATCTGTAATGGGGTCTGGTACCCTCTTCTGGCCTGCAGGCATACACACAGACAGAATATTGTATACATAATAAATAAATAAACAAATAAATATTTAAAAAAATGAAAATGCCATCACCTAGGTGTGTGTCATCCCTAGGATAAAATAGTAACAGTGCTGTCTTGGATAACGAGTGTTTTAGATTGGTATTGTTGCTAATGCGTATAATCGCAGAAACTCAAGGAGCTGAAGCAGGAGGACACTGCTTCAAAATGAAAACCTGAAGAGCACTGGGGCTGCAGCTCAGTGTGAAGCCAGAGGCTAATTCCCAGCACCGGGGAAGGTGGGGAGGAAAGAAGAGAGACTGGGTTTCTGTTCATCAGTTTGCCTTTTCCATCATGCCATACAAGTGAAGGCCTATGGGACTTTTGCCTTTCATGCTGCCTCACTTCACCTGGTACAACACACGAGAGTTCAGTCATGTTGACTTCTACCCTGCAGATGGGGTAATGCTGTGCTGTGCCATTTTTTTCTGCTCTCATAGACAGGTTGGTTGTTTATACTTTCTGGCAGCAGTGAATCAAATCCTCAAAAACATTTATATGAAGTTTTTGTATGACCTTCATTTTATTTTTGTAAATAAAGAACTAAAGATGAAATTGCCATATTGTCTGGGAAGTGAATGCTTCCCTTCAGGTAATGACTGCCACTGCTTTTGAGTGACGCATCAGGGAGGTGGTGCTCACATGTGTAGTCCCAGCAGTCAGGAAGCAAGGGCAGAATTAAGGCCAGTCTAGGTCCCATAGTGAATTTGAGACCAGTCTGTGCTAGAGTAAGTCTCAGTCTAATAATTTATAATTTTAATTTTAGAATTACTGTCCCTAAGTGGATATATATTTTTAATGAGCTATTTATTATTATCATGTGTTTAATGTATAGGCATCTTAGGAAGCTTACTGAAGTCCAGCATTGTAATTTAGATTTAGAAACCATATTACCAATCACAAATGGGGATATAAAAAGTGAGTATGTGTTAAGCTTTAATTAAGTTCTACATTTCATTGCATTGGAGTTTGTTGACATAAAGTCATATGTAGTTTGATCTGTGTTGGTATGTGCTGTCAGCATTCTACCAAAGTCTGAGAAATGTATGTACCTAGGAGATACGGTTATTATCAAAATTAAGTTTGCCTTTTAGATTAATAGGCTCAGTGCTTTTCTGATTTTTTTTTTTTCTCTCCAGAATCTGGTCAACCTGTAGTTCCATTGGACAGACAGTTTCTCATCCGTGAACTGAATGCCTTTGAAGAATCAAAGGATAACTCAATGTAAGAAGTTTTTAAAAGAGGTTTGCAGATGTTGCATTTAGTGCTGCCTATGATTCATTTTAACCCAGCAGAAACTTATTGGGGTTTACTGTAAGTTACACACTATATGAGGTCTAAGCAGTGTGGCAGCAGGTCAGTCACCTGAGGTCTCTGCTACAGCTGAGCTTGTTGTGTCTTCAGAGAACTGAATACTTAGCCAACCACCATGCCTGCCTGCCTGCCTCTCTTCCTTCTTTCTTTTCTTTTTCTTTCTTTCTTTCTTGAGGGCTTTTTCCTCAATTTATTTCTTTTGGTGGTGGTAATTGAACCAGAGCCTTAACTGCTCGTGGTGCAACACACCCGGTACCCTGAGCAGTCTCCTTGGCCTGGTCCTCTATTTTCTTTTTTAAACTTTAAAAAAAAAAAAAGTGTTTATGTGGATATGTGTTTTGTCTGCATGCATGCTGCTTACCACATACATGCGGCCTTGGAGCTGGAGTTACAGGTGGCTGTAAGCCACCAAGTAAGTGCTGGGCATTGAGACTGGTCCTCCGGAAGAACAGCCAGTGCTCATAATTGCTAAGCACGCCACCTCTCCAGCTTCGGCCTTCTTACTTCTTTCTAAGGATGATTTTTCTTGGCCTCCTGATCTTTTTCCTTCTTCCTGAGGCTTTGTTCTTTAAGTTCCTTTCTTCTTCATATTTAACTCTTCCTCATTGCTTTTGTCACTCCAGTGTAGAAACAGACTCAGATCTCTTCTCTAAAAATGAAAAAAAGAAGAAAAAAAGCCTTCCCATCAACTTCCTCTCTTCCTACTACTGCTTTATCTTTAATTGCTAGGTCTGCCCTCTGCGTTCATGTTATCATCCCTCTCTCTTCTGCGATCTTCAGTGCTCCTTCTCCTCATTTATACTCATCATTTCTTAGTTCTTTCCCTGTGGTTAATACTTTCTACACTTTACCATAGAGTCCCTAACTTGCTTATTAGTTTGTCCCTAGTGCCAGAGTGCATGGCTCAGCACAACTTTATTAGCTGGAAATTTCTTTGAAAACTCATGTTTTCTTTCTAAAAGCTTGTTGAATTTTTTCATTTGTTTTTATGGTATAATTAGGTTTGTTTTACCATAAATGGTATTATATCATATGCCATTTAAACTAACACTCCCTCAGTGCTGTCCTATCCCTAGAGCCAAGTGTATGCCTGTTTTTGCAACATGTAATATTGACTTCTTTTCTCCATGCTGTTTTCTGTCCTGTTTCTTGTGGTTCTTCACTGTTGTACGAGTTCCCAGTGGCAGTCTTGCTTTCTTCATTGACTCCTTTAAATCATAAAGTATTCAGCAGTTTCTGTCTTCTGCTTTTATTTCTCCACCCCTCCCCACCATATTCTTGAGTCTCTAGGGAGGTCTGTATGGGGCAAATGTGCTAATTTTCCTGAGTTGGGGCTCATGTGGTGTCCAGAAGACAAGGGCACTCTTTGTGGTTTCTCACACCTTCCTCATAAGCTGCTCATGAGCTGCTGCTCAGGTTTTGTTGGTTTTTTGTTTTTGTTTTCTTTTTTCTCAAGACAGATTTTCTCTGTGTAACAGCCCTGGCTATTCTGGAACTTGGCTTGTAGACCAGTCTGCCCTTGAACTCACTGACTTCTCAGTGCCTGGCTGCTGCTCAATTTTAAAGGCAGAGTCCACAGGCAGTTTAAAGGGAACTCTTTCTCTGGCTAGTCCTTCACCTGTACTATTGATTCTGCCTCTGGGTATCTCTTCTCACTGCCCTGTGCCATGCTGTTCACATTGTTAAGGAGCCACCTGACTAGTTTATCACCAGTTGCTTTTTCAAGTTGATTTTATCCTGCCCTCTGTCTTTCTAAGGCAGCTACTGCATCGTTTAAAGACACTTAATAAACATCCATTATATACATGAGCAAGTCACAACCTGTAGCATGGCTTCCAGCTCCAGTGGCTTTACCCACCTCACTGGCACACAGCTCATTGCAGCTTCATGGTTTTTTGCCTTTGCAGCAATTGTTCCCTCTTCTGGAAGCTGGAGATCTCTCTTCTTCCTCAGCTTCTGTGGGATCACCTTTCATCTTCTTGGCCCTATTAGATGCTCCCACAGGAGTTGGGAAGGAGAAAAAAGTTACCCACAGGTTTTTGACTATATTTTGTTCTCATTGCAATGGATTTCAGTTACAAAGAAAACTGATTATCTGTATAAAATCAAGGTGACCTGGAGAAGGAGAAAAGAAAGCATTTCATAGTTCCACAGTTTCATGTTTTCTTCTCTTTATACTTGTCTTTGTGCTGATATGATATGACTACAAAGGGCTTCAACAGCAATCTTAAACAGACTACAAAGGAATATAATGGTTGTTATACTACATGTTAAATAAATGATTCAAGTAAGTACAGAGTATTACTATAGTGGACTGTTACTATGATATAGTATATTTAGAAAAATTGCACTTTGATGTTGTTTTGCATTGAGCGTCCAGATGCTGTGTTGCTTTGAGCTGACTAGCTCTTGTAGACCAGGCTGGCCTCGAACTCACAGAGATCCTCCTGCCTCTGCCTTCCGAGTGCTGGGATTAAAGGCCTGCTGTGCCACCACCACCCAGCCTTGAAGGGAAAGCTTTAAGGCACTAGGTGTGAGTGATGACAGCAAGCTGACTGCTTGCGTATACTTACGTTGTGTATTAACCTCAAGTGGCATGAGCCCTTAGAGAGGAACAATGGCCTGAGTGAGGTGAAATCTCTTTTAAGGTGGTCATGGTGAAAGTATTGGTGTTTTGCTACGAAACGTGTAGATGGCAGAGAAAACTGTAATGTTGTCTCCATCTGCCCACTGACACCTCTACCCAAAGGTGACCCAAGTGAACATTTTCCCCTTGCATTATTCGGATACAAGCTCACCACTTAGAGCACAACTGTGTGTATTTTCTTCCACTTAGTGAGGGAATTGTATTATATATATAAACATCTCTTTTTCAAATACTTGCATTCTTCTTAATTGGTGGGTATTTTGTTTCAGGGTTTTTTTTTGTTGTTGTCGTCGCTGTTGTTCTTATCTACACAGAATATGAAGGTGTCTATTGAGGCTGTCTCCCTCTGCTTCCTTTTCTTATCATGTCTTCCCCTTTTGTTGTAAACAACTCTCATGTTCTTGGGTCACTGTGGATTCCTGTATCCATGAGGTATTTTCCAGCATTTTACTATTCTGCCAAAACCTATCTGACACCTGCCATCATGTGGGATACTGCTGGAGATGTGGTGGCACACTGTTTTCTGAAGTGTTCCCAGATGCTCACAAAAGACCATTGAACTGCATTCCCTCTTGGTCATTCTTGATGTACATATACAAAGCATGTGCCCCAAGAAATCCTGCCACAGAAAGAGCCTTTGTCATCTAACTTGGTAACCAGATTTATTGGGTGAAGAAATCTTTAAGGGGGCATAGTCCTCCTTTTTGCAGAGATAGTGGCCATGGGTGCAATAATCACTGTATTTGAGTGTTAAGCAAAACAGTGGGCAATGCTTTATACATTTGGACAGTTTTTGAAATGTGTGAAAAAAGTCTCTAAGAGTAGCTTAGTCAGTGTTCTATTGCTTTGAAGAGGCATACAGCAACTCTTACGAAGGAAAGCATTTAATTGGGGCTGACTTACCATTCCAGAGGTTTAGTCCATTTTCATCATGGTAGGAAGCATGGCAGCATACAGGCAGACATGGTGCTGGAGAGGTAGCTGAGAGTTCTACATCTGGTAGCAGGAAGTGAGGAGACACTGGAACTGGCTTGGTTTTTGGAACCCCAAAGCCCATCCCCAGTGACATACTTCCTCCAACATGGCCTTACCTCCTAATGTCTCTCATGTATCACCACCGCTAATTACCGAACATTCAAATATATGAGCCCACGGGGGGCCATTCCTTTTTAGACTACCACAGTAGCAAAGGGTGGTGAGCACTTGGGTAGGAGGTCATTCAAGCATAAGGCATTGTTTGCAGTTAGCGGGTGTTGGGAGCTCTTAGATTTTTCCTAGCCTTTTAGTAGCCTCTGAGACAGTTGCCTCAGATGAACTAGTTAAAGAGGAAACTGGTGACCATCTTTATTTCCAGAAAGGAGCGTCTTGGGGCTGGAGGGATGGCTCAGAGGTTAAGAGCATTGACTGTTCTTCCAAAGGTCCTGAGTTCAATTCCCAGTACCCACATGATGGCTCACAACCATCTGTAATCTGGCGCCCTCTTCTGGCCTACAGGCATACATGTAGGCAGAAAACTGTACATGTAATAAACAAATAAAATCTTTGGGAAAAAAAAAAGAAAGGAGCGTCTTGCTGCTCTTTGGGAATTGGGGGGTATACGTGCTGAAGATCAAACTTGGGGTTTTGCACATGATAGGTGAGTTCTTTCTCAATGGGCAACAACCCTTGCTATACTTTTCTGTATATGGCCTCTTAAAGCTTATTTTTGCAAAGACACTTTACTGTCTATGAAATTGTAGTATAAATGTGCTAATTATGTATTATCTAAAGCAGTTTAAGATATCTGACACTTAAAATTTCCTAAATCTCGAGCAGATTCCATCCAAGTTAGAAGTAAAGCCTTTAGCAGTCTCTCAAACAAGTTGACTGTAAGGGGCAGAGGCATGAAGTGTATCCTGGTATGATTTCCTACAGCACTCCACTGAGCCTGTGCTGCTCCTTGGCCTGGAGGAGCTGCTGAAACACACAGTCATGTGCTCCTGTCCCACACATCACTCCAGAACTCACTGTTTCAGGGGTATTGGGAGCTGTACTCACCTGAGTGTAGACCCAGATTTCTTGAGATTTCAGGCTTCTAGAGCCTTAACTGAGGCCATGGAATCTGCTTCAGACTGTCTCAGTGCCTCACACATGTGCCTGTCTGTGGGACTGCCTGAACGTCCTTAGTCTGTGCCTCCCACAGAAAGTGATACAAGAAAGCAAGTAATAAATAGGCCCTTGTCCTTACCACCTTGTCCCATTGGTAGAAGTAAGTGAGGCTCAATAAACTATAAGGGGTTTAGACTCTGTTTTCAATAGGCATACCATACGTTGAACCATTATACCAACTGGGCAGGAGATGGATATCTCAAAAGTAAATGTATTTACTTGTATTTTCAGGGGTGAGATTGGAAGCAAAGGGACTTTGGCTTCTGTGCTGTCAGCAGACCAGCCTTCAGTGACAAGGGACTGATTAACAGGACTCTAGGTGACATATTTTTAAGGAAAAGCACATAGGACTTGGTTATGTGTGTAAATGTCGTTACCCCTGAGAGACACTAACTAGCACATTACTGAGGCCTGGTTTTCTCATTAATAAGTTGGTTGTAGTAGAGTGATGGGTAAGAGGAAACCACAAAGCAACCTTTTAGATATTAGTTACTGCGCAGCTCACCTGAAACCAAAATTAATGTACCTTTTACTGTGTGCAAGGTGCACAGCTAGAAGCCTGACATTGTGAACTAATTCACAGCATACCAAAGGGACTGCTCAGACCCTTTGAGGGAGAGAAACATCTGTGAGCTTCAGGAAACTAAGATCTTCCAAGGTCTGCAGCTGGCTGTTGGCAAAGCAGGAAACCAGTTTTAGGTTCTAGGAAGGTTTTAGGCTGGGTTTGGAGTTGACAAGGTGAATTCCAGTGGGATTGTAATTTTATTTCAATTTAGATTATTTTAATGGTATTAATGTGTTTTCTGGGGGTTTACAAATTCTCAAGAGCCATGTGGTTGCCGAAGTGGTGCACACCTTTAATCTCAGCACTCGGGAGACAGAGGCAGGCGGATCTCTTAAATTCAGGGCCAACGTGGTCTAAGAGTTCCAGGGTATCCAGAGAAACTCCATCTCGAAAACAAAACCTTCTCAAGTTAATTGGTAGTTTTAAACTGAGAGTGACCATTTGCCACTTGGATAATAATCCTGTGTCTTTTGCGATCTAGTGAGTTAAAGGGCAGCTTCAGTGTCAGAGTTACTTTTAAAGCAAATGTCTTAAGCTTTTTCTACTTATGGGAAATGAATTGATTTTGGTTTTGCCTTCTTCCTGAAATAGTCCTCTGTTATATGGAATTTTAGCCCATTTCTTGCGTGGTCCTCCAGATGGCATCCAGAATGTGCTTCTGACAGAGTCAACACTTCAGCCTCCAAACAGGCATCCCAGCTGGAAGCCCAGCAGAAAACCAAAGGGTAGGTGTTTCCAACGTTCTCCTTTAACTTCATTGACTTTGTTCTCCTGGAGCCTGTGAGTCCTAGCTTAATTACACTATGTCCAGTCCAGTGTTCGCCTGTAATACTTAACCTCCAGAGAGCAAAGTAATACAACTTCAAAGCCAAGGTCTTGAAAGAAACCCCAACTTTCACATCAGTGGGGTCTTTGGAACTGCCTGGCTTACCACACTGTATAGTTTTCTTTGAAATCAAGAAGTCTTTCCCCCCACACACACACCTCCCACCTTTCCCATACTAAAAAATACAAGGCAAGATTACTACTGTACCAAGAGATGCCCTATCATACAACAAAAGTATATGCTCAACTATGTTTATAGCAGCATTGTTTGTAATAGCCAGAACCTGGAAACAACCTAGATGCCCTTCAATTGAAGAATGGATGTAGAAAGTATGGAATATATACATATTAGAGTACTACTCAGCAGTAAAAAACAAGGACTTCTTGAAGTTTGCAGGCAAATGGATGGAAATAGAAAACACCATCCTGAGTGAGGTAAGCCAGAC